AAATTGACTAAGGAACACCTTATTTGTTACCATGGACGTTTATAGAAATTATTTATCGAAAAAAATAAAAGTTTTTCTACTCTAAAAAATAATTTTGGTTTTGCGGGTTACTATGTGTTTGGTTTCCAGCGTCGATATTATAAAGAGGTAAACATTCTGACTTTGTAACTGTTTAGATCCTACACTGTAGGAGATAATGTTCGGAATTATTGATCATGAAAATTCTGTCATCTACGGGAAATTACACCTTTTCATCATCTACATTTCAACTGATTAGCTATCATGGTTCATGAGATATAGCCTGGTGGCAGACGAACGTACTACTTACTTAAAGGGTCCAGTTTTACTCTTTGAATACGGAACTCTAAAAACGATTTTTAAGGTTATCATTTAAAACTATGCTATTTTGTTTCTGGTCCTGCTTTTTATTGATTACCAAGTTTATATTATTGATTGGTGCTATTATGATTAGTTTTTAATTAAGTATAACATAATAATATTTACTAATGCAATAAGGCATGCCGTTAATGTTATGACAATAAATAACTCAAATTGCTTATTATTAAATTGTTCGTGAATGGTGCGATTTGATGAAAAAGATTTAAGAAAAGGTATATTCCCAATAGAATATAAGACGAATAGCTCAAGTTTTCTATGTGAAGGTTAAGTAAGTTTAGCAATGGTCAGCCATAGGGTGGTGGGGTGATAGAAGCCGGTACCAAAGATTTAACGTGCATATGTGAAATCGTCGATTACAGCTGATCTGCAGTCATTAGCACTCAGCAATCTTCACTTATGTGTGGCCGATATAACTCGTTCTCCATATTTAATGCCATCCAAATGAAATGCATATATGGATTGTGGACCAGAGGTTCAATAGAAAATTCACGATGATTGGATCAATAGCATTGTGTAAACTGATATACTATTAGGTTCACGTCCCGTTACTTCAAAATAGGTACTTAAACAAAACAGACAAAGTCAAGTATTCTCTTCGATCATTTTTTACTTTAGAAATGGAATTTCGTAATTTTAATCGCTGGCGAGTAAACGTTGTGCCTCTGTAGGTATCTGGGATAATTTTACATACAATTGTATCCACTCACGTACGAATTGGGAACGGCCTTGTTTCATTCAATAGCCTCTCACCGGAGTTGTAAGCCTGTAGAATAAGAATGAATCTCTTTTTGTAGCATCAAGAGCAACGTTAATTTTTATAACTTATCTGGGATAACTTAATTATTTTACCTGTCTTACGTACTCTTAATAATTCTAAAATTAATTGGAAGTCTTAATAAAAACAATTTAAGAGCCCTATTGCGTTTCGACTGATTTTTGCGTAAAATGGTCAGGGTGGCATTCATGATCCCGAAATTAAAAACTATGTTTATAGTTTTAAATAATTGAATAGTGCAGAATAACTATTGGCATATTTAATAGTGGCCTCGAATTATTTCTCGAAATCGTACCAAATTAATTACAATTCTATAAGGAATAAAAACTTTTATATTCATTTGTTTTTCGTTACATAATCTTAGGCACAAAATTTACTATCTTATATCAATAAAAACGATAAATATAACTGCAAAATTATTACATAATGCGGTGTACCTGCCACAAAAACGCAAGCTGGAATTTTACATGCATGGGTACAGGTTACCATAACACCGGTCAACACGAATTTTGTTTCTGAGTTCCGTACATTTGATTTTGATTACTTATGCAAATGGCAAATGTATTTATTTTTTCTAAAAAAGTTTGCTTTTGTAGCTATGAGAACGAAATATTTTTTAAAGAAAAAATCTAAGGAAAATTTCCAATTTACCAGATTGTCTACTTTTAAAATATAAAAAAAAAAACATATTTAAAATTGTTTTTATCAACTTTTGTTTAAACAGAAAATATTTATACAGCTCACAAATACAGAAAATTATACAAAAATGCTTCAAAGTGAAAAATGTACATTATAGAATAGAGCTATCGATAAATAAACACCATTCAGAGGGAATAAATATGTTACTAATTTCATCGAACAAGCCTTTCTAGCAAATTCTGACAATATATCAATTTTTTTGTTGTATAATGTACAAAAGAAAACTTTATTTTTTTTATTGTAGAAAATAATCATTAAATAAAAGAAACAGAAAAAAAAATTTTGGTGACCGGTGTAATTTATTTGATTCAACTTTTAAGGGTGTGAATTAATTATGTTGCAGGTTGTATATGTACAAGCATTTCGGTAAACTATTTTTATTTAGTATTCAATCCCAATAGAAGTTACTGATTTATTGTTTTAGGTAAAAACTCATGGTTAAGGCTATTCAAATTCAGTTCTGTGATATATAGATAATCCGTGCCTCTAATTTAAAATATACATCTAATGGACTAACTTAGACCTAGATGTCAATGTTTAGTTTTTACCTGCAGTCGAAATAAAACTTAATCGTAGCTTCCTGTTTTGCTCTCCAATCTGAATATGGGTATTTAGAAATCTAACTAATTTGTAAAAATTCACTTTACCTAAGTGGAAGAGACTACCTCGTGGGTTGATAAATTTTGAGACTAAATAGAAGTTGCGTAACATTTTTAATAATTAACATATATTTCAAAAAATTTCAGTGTTCATTAAATAGATAATATTTTATTCAAAATGACCGTCTTTGATTTAATACAGGCTCTTAGAAGTTTTGGCCAGTCATCAATTGCAGCACGAACCTTTTCTAGCAGAATTAGCTTTGCTTCTCGAAGAAGGGTTCGCTTCAGTAACTCCAAGTTTTGTCATTGTGTGGCTTGAACTTTTCTTTGACAGTTAAAAAAATTCTCGTCGATGAAGAGCATCTTCCTAGCATCATGTCTCCTTAGCACAACGTTCGCGTCGTAACTTACGAAGACGATCGTTTAATAAGTGAACGGCTATAGACCTTTACCTTAAGATCATATTTCAGTATTCTGGCGTCCTCACAGAGTGTGGCCGATCACTCCTTTGGCGATCTTGCAGAGAACTTGTCTCTTTGTACCGCTGTATTGTGTAAAAGACGAAGTTAGTTACAGGAAAACTTGTCAGCTCTGCGCCTGCATTTGTAGTCGTTAATACCCGTCAATCCGCATTGGGTTATCGTGGAGGGAGGGTCATGGCCCAAGCTCCTTAACCATCCATAAGAAAGGCCTAAGCCCCTGCAGTGGGGACGAAATAAAGGGCCGGTGATGATGATGGTCCTTTATAATTTCAAGTGGTATTACAACTTTCTGGGCCCATCTAGGATCATTGGACCTTAAGGAGTAAATACGCATATAATGTCTAGCTATTCAAAATAGCTAAGCAACATTAGAATAATTAACTAATTAAGCAACAAATATTTGGGCTTACAAATATTTATTGATGTGATATATAAATAATAATAACCGGTCCCATGAGTAATCGTGTCTTGAAAAGTCTGCAGAATAACTTTGTATGACTTATACGCCACTTTAGCATAAAAGGTCGCGCTTTATTCCCTTGAGATGGTAGTCACGCTTACAATCTCTAGAGACTTAGAACTGGGTAAAAAGTAGGTGATGTGTGTACCACTTTAGAATTTTTAAGTTATAGTCCAAATAAAGCTACAGAGTTTTTACGGGTATACAAACCTCATTCAATTTTACATATTTAACCAAATTCCAGAGGCTTAATAATCCAATTTTAAAATCTATCGCAATCACTTTAAAGGACATTGCTCAACGTCCATACATTGGTGGCCCCAGAGCCAAAAAAATATAGGAAAATACTTATTTTATTGTGTGTCACTAACTAATTCTCATTATGTATTTATTATACCGCGACCGAGTTTTAGAACTTATTATCACGCAAAATATAATTCATTTTGAGGTTATAATTTGTTTGGAAAACCACCAAGAGATGGCACTCTAAGTACATGATATGATATTGATGTCTATATTGTCGAAGCAAAAAACTCAACTTTAAGAAAGTCGGTTTTTCGTTGTGATTTGTAAAAGTTTCTAAGTCAATCAATAGACAAATAAATCATTCTAATAGTTAAATAATATACCTATTGATAAGCTTAAAATTAAAAAACCTATAGCTGTTTGATGGTTTACATCAAAAGATGGCGCCTTAAATAAATAAATGACATGATGTTAATATGTTTACGAGAAATATAAAGGAAATGTAATAGAAACAAAGTAGTTTTTAGGATATGTCGTATGAATATCAATCTTTCTGAATAAACAAGAGTGAATTATCAAGAGTTAATGAATTTAGTTTGTATAATATTCAGTTTTTATGTCCTTATGTTTTAGTTGGAAAATCACCAAGAGATGGCGCTTTTAGTAAATTTAAGTTTATTTTCGATCAATTTAATTTAATGTTTTTGTGTTCGATGATTTAAAGGTTATTTAATAAAAATAAATGATCTTCTTGATCTGACGTGTAAATTACATCCATCTGACTTAATAGAATTTAAGTATATTGAATGTGAATATTTGCGAATAAAAATGTTACTGTTAAAGTACTTTTAAATATTAATTTTGGATCGCAGCTTGTCCGTAGTCAAATAAATATTTGATTCCAATTTAATAAATAAATTAGTAATTATTATTGAAGTGTTAATATTTAATGGTATTGGGGCCATTTTCGGCGATGTCCTTTGAAAGATATTCACGAACTACATGCTATAATGCTATAATTTGGCATGTGGTAGAGAGTGCGATCGCGACTTTTTAAAATATATTGACTGAACGATATTATTAACTTGACTTAACTAGTAATTGTCTAAGGCAAGTGTTGGACGCAAATATTTGTTGTGACTTTAATACCATAAATTGCTATCACAGCCGCTACCTTTGGAAGAGATTGCGATGTATTTATTTAATAAGACAGCCCACAGATATTATACGCAATATGTGACCTTTTTGTTACTTACCTAAAATTGGAAAACGGAGAGTGATGAAGGATTTCAATTTCATTTTTTTTTGTATTTCAAAACATTGTTTTTCTCGGCAGTATGGAGGTGGGAGTTCGTATCCTTGGAGTGGTGCTGAGGTTACTTAACCTGCTACTTGCTCCATTATTCTGGTTGAGAGCTCGCGACAGACGCGCGTTGACACCACCCAAGCCGCTGCTGTTGCGCAGCGCTAAGGAACATGCTGCAGCCGTGCGAAACGGAGAGGTAAGATATCGGGTTGGATAACTTCTACGAGAGCCTTGCTGCTGAAATGTATGTAGAAATGTAAGATTATATTTCGTTATTTCTGCATACACAATGTTATTGATATTTCTCTTTAAAAAAAACTTCACCAATCCAGCAGAGCGACCGCCTAACTGTCTAGCCACGAATCCAGCCATAGGATACGACATCTTATCGACTTTATGACGATATTTCGTTGTATATCCTTCTTTGAATTGTTTTTTGGTGGATATAGGATAAAAATACTAATCTGGTAACGCTACTGTACAATCACCATTCTTTATCATTCGTTCGTTGTTAATAAAGTACATGTTAAAGTCGTAAAATGAAACGAATAACGACACATCGCATATCACCGCTAAGATGGCGTATCCTAAAGGCGTTTGTAACTCAGGTGCCCCAAATGGAATTCGAAACTTTTCGCAATGCAGGCGCTTGCTCTAATCAAAATGAGTGAATGAATGAATATAGTGTAGTGACTAGTGGTCAGCTACACAATATTACGTATGACTTACATACAACTTAAATTTTATTATCATAGCAATTGTTACTCTGTCCTCTCTACATATCACGTAAGAAATATAGCTAAAACTACCAATACAGGCTCAGCCGGATTGCTAGGCGAATTAACATCTAATAATATGCGGGAACATAGGCTTACATATTTTACACAGTTGAAGTCGTAGGGAAACAGCTAGATTAATAGAAATTGGTCCACAATTCAAAAAGAATGACCATACCTATTTGCATAAAAATATACATACCCAAAATATTAGATATTTTGGGTATGTATAAAATATAAAATTTACATACCCAAAATATTAGATATTTTGGGTATGTCTATGATAGTAGATTTTCTCCAAGAAGGTTTTCATTGCAAAATGCTGTTATAATGGAATTAGGTTTCTAACGATCTCTCTCGATGAGAATGTGGCAAATACCAGTACCGGTCCCAGTGAGGAAACATTGACTGAATGATCACTACCTAAATGACAACCGTTCGTTTCGACACGAGATGGAAAATTATAGGCAATCGAAATGAACGCACTGTGTGACATACTTCATCTAACTAAAGCATTCATTATTAACAAATTAACCTATTTCAATTCTCTATCCTTCATATAAGTCGAGAGGAGTAATTAAATACTTGAGGATATGTCATACATAACTTATCAGATATTTTTACCAAATAAACAAGAATTTAAATCGAGGGTCAAACTGAAAGTTCTTAGAAAATCAAAAACTGATTACATTAGCCAGTTATTAGTTTTATTATATCTTTTCAAAATATTGTCCATTCACGTCAATACACCGCTGCATGCGATGGAACCACTGGGAAAAGCACTTTGCCCACTCGTCCTTAGGGGTCTCTTCAATGGCATCGCGATACGCAGCCACCGCTTCTTCAGCATTCATAAACCGCTTTCCTTTAAGTTTTTCTTTAATTTTTGGAAATAAATAAAAATCACAAGGCGCGAGGTCGGGGCTATACGGCGGGTGACCCAGTAATTCAACGTTTGATGTCGCCAAATAGTCGATCGTTCGCTTGGCGGTGTGCGACGAGGCGTTGTCGTGGTGAAGGAGGATCCTACTGCGAGGTCGTTTCTCTCGAACTTTTTCCAAGACAAGTGGCAAACAATTGGTAGTGTACCATTCTGCAGAAACTGTTTTTTGATCCTCTAACACAATTGTTGCAAAATGACCTATCCTTCCAAAGAACGAGGCCACCATTTTTTTTCCCGCACTTCGATCTCTCTTCACTTTAGTTGGCAACTCCTCGAAAGGAAACACCCACTGAGCAGATTGTCTTTTGGTTTTAGGATCATAACAGTAAATCCAGCTTTCGTCACCTGTTAGTATGTCGAACACAGCATTTGAGTCACCTCCGTTAAATCTTTCAATCATTTTACGATACCAATCCACACGATGGAGTTTTTGAGCCTCAGTCAAATTATGAGGTATCCACCGGGCGCAAAGCTTCCTGACCGCTAAATGTTCGTGGAGGATTTTGTGCACTTGACTCATACCGATGCCTAAGCTTGTCCGAATCTGTTGATAGGTCACTCTTTTGTCAGTCTCTATCATACGCCGCACAACACAGATGTTATCTTCAGTCGTCGCCGTAGAAGGCCGTCCCTCACGTAAATCATCAGTGAGATTAGTGCGACCACGTTTAAACTCATTAAACCAGTTGTAAACAGTCGCACGAGATGGGGCTTCATCGTGAAAGGCCAATCGTAGTCTATCATAACTTTCTTGTTGACTTAAATGACATCGAAAGTCATAAAAAATCATTGCACGAAAATTTTCTCGTGTTAAATTCATGATGACGTGACACAGACAATTTTCAATTTGCCGCCAAATCGTAAAACAAATGACAAATGAATGAAATATATACTCAGTAATATTGGCAAAGAGTTATATTTTCAAATTTTAGAATTATTTTTTTATTATATTGTTTATAAGTGGCCAGTTCTAAGAACTTTCAGTTTGACCCTACTATTATTGTTTGATGTTAACAGTTCTTACCTCATTCAAATTATTGGTTAAAATATTTGCTTAAATTGTGTAATTTTTTTCAAGTAATTATTTCTCTTGACAATAGATGCAAGTGTTAGATTAGTGATTATTATGTTATAGACTATTTCTTTCAACATATTTTTCTGACGATTTTTATGGAGAGGTTCAAAAGAACGGAATCCCATTCTTTTTAACCTCTCCATAAAAATCATTCGTTCATAGAAGTCAATAATTTTTAATAATAAATTAGATGTTCTACCAATACAACCGATAATATTTGTATTTGTGTTTTATTTGAAGAATACTATGTAAAACTATGTAATTTTCCAAGCATGCAATATGGGGGCAGACAACAAAGTACCGGATAGTTAATTATATTATATGTATAATTAGGTATGTGATTGTATGATTATTGTTGCCAATAAATAATTACCTATTATTGATAAAGTTTCAAGACGGAAATTACTTTGTAATCTTTATTACAATCGTATTTTGAAATTTACTTTATAGTTGTGACGAGAATGTAACTAAACATAAGACAAATGTCCACGTGCCTTATGTTTAGTTACGTTCTTTTCACTGAGGTTTTAACTGAAATCAATTGCAAATGAGAACAAACATAATAGTGCATTAGGTGTAAACATTTATATGAATAAAAAAATGGAATGCCAAACTTGTAATTATTAAGTTTTAATGCTTTCTTATTCAGATTACCAGTGAAGAATTGGTGACAGTTTACATCGAACGAGTGAAAGAAGTAAATCCTTTATTGAACGCGGTTGTAGAGGAACGGTATAGAGCTGCATTGGAGGACGCCAAGGAAGTAGACCGGAAGATACAGGAGGCAAAGGATAATGGTGTACTGGTGCAATTCGTACAGAACAAACCTCTTCTAGGAGTTCCTTTTACTGTTAAGGAAAGCTGCTCTCTTGCTGGTGAGTGGAACTTATTGGGATGTCCTAACCTCCTTGTGAAACCACAGTTAAGCTTATATAATCTGCCCTGCCGTTGTGACGTCACAACGACACATTTTAAGAATGACGGAATTGTTCATTTTGTTTCGTAATCATTGTTATTTTTCTAAAACTAAAATCTATTAAAACTATCTGGTTGATTGGTAGAGAACGCTCAGTCGCATTAAAGCCGTTATTAGTACGTTTTAAATTGTATGTCGAGGAAAGAATACACTTGAAACTAGAACTTATTTAAACTTCGAGCTTACGTCAAATTGCTATATTGCAATATTAAATAAAATATAGGTACCTCTTATTTCTAGAAACCTTTGACATAATATATTAGCTCAGCATAAATACAACAAGCGGTCACTGACATATTCCCTTGCCCTTTGAACTAGCCTTTGAAATTACGGCTATGAAACTTAGTGAGCCATAGGTAAAAAGTTAATTTTAGCCATCTTTTTCTAGTCTGGCCATATAAGCACTTTCAAGAAAATTTTATTCGATTACGTCTTTTATTTATTTTATCAGAATTAACTTCACAGTTAGTGATCTCTCTCCCGCTTGACTGGAAAATTTAATTTCATCAACAGGTTTGTCAAACGCCGTAGGCTGCTTAGAATTCGCAGGCCGAAAAGCAACCAACGATGGAGAGGCGGTCCGATTAGTGAAGCAGGCTGGTGGTATTCCCCTGCTTGTTTCGAATACGCCGGAACTATGCCTGGGATGGGAGACAACTAATTTGCTGCGGGGTACTACTAACAACCCCTACTGCCTTGATAGAACGCCCGGTGGGTCTTCTGGTGGAGAGGTTAGTATCCAATTATTTCGAGTTCCAATTTAGGGAGTCTTGTTGCAATAATCATAAGGTCTAAAATACAGCAAATTAAGTATTCTTCTCATTCGCACTCAACGGTGGTCAGACGTGTAGAAACGGGTGAATCGCCCAATGGCATGATACTTTAATCATACTGATTGAGAGACAAAAAATGCGATTAAAAATTTAGCCTTCTGTACATTTACATTTTCTGCGGTATATCAGTTAAATAATACTGTCTATGTTACGACGTCTGTTTATTTGTTACATTCTTACTCCTGAGGTGTCGAACAATTTTTATGAATTTTCTACCATAGAGAAAAATTCTACCATAGTCTAGATAGAGAATATAAATTAGATTTTTCATTATTATATATGCGAAGGGATTGAAATATGAGATGCAAGTTTCTCTCGGGTATCCTATTAGTATACAATTCATTTTATGCTTATAAATAGGTTACCCGAAATATAATGTTTATAAATATTGATGCAAAGAAAGTCACGGGCACTAGTTAGTAATGTAGGTAATCTTTTTGTATTAAAATGCATATTTATAGGCTATAATACTTAGTTTATAACTTTATAAAACTGGGCTATAAACAAACGTTTGTTACAATCAGAATTCTATGCCATCAGCCATTAAATCTATTTAAGGAGATTTTTACTCAAAGCGACTTTGACAATGACGCAAAAGTCAAATTTTATAATTATAAAAAGTTAGATACTATTAAAAATATTACTAGCTTTTATTACTGCCTGAGAGATTATAAATGTAGTGTTAATTAAAGATTGGCTTTCTGTGACTAACATAATAATTGCTATGAATGACATAACTTCAAATATCTTTAAAATGTCCACATGACAGCTGTCATCATATCCATTTTTACCACCTTTTTATTAAATATTGTTAAATGGTGTGTTAAAAAGGCAGAGTAATCATTACTTATGATTATTCTGCTTTTTTTTCGAGCTAAAATCCAACCAATGAATAATCATGACAATCGGTCCAGTCTTTCTTGAGTTATAAATGTAACGAACTCTGTGAACAAACGCGATTTAAAGAACGGAAAAAGACAACTTCATGCCGAGGGCATTCTGTACCACTAATGTAAAATACTATGATCTTACTGTGATATTTTAATCCAATATTTTTAAAACTGTCAAATAAAGTGTCACCGCTTTTATACAGGTGATTTTTGTCATTTTTTTTAAAGAAATGATTTTTTTAAAAAGATATATAAGTGACGTAAATCAGTTACCATTACATGTAAACTTTAATGCTATTGACTATTTGTTTAACTGAGTTTACTCAATGCGCAGTTCGTGCCAAGAATAAATTGCATCGAAGTGCATGTTGGCCTTCAGTATAGCTATTATCTGAGTTTACTATATAATTGAATAGTCATAATCAAATAATGACATTTGTTTGAACTTCATAACTAATTCAACAAGACCTTATTTTAACGTACTTTACCCAATGTTAATAAAGAGCCATTCTAAAAGATAGATTCCATTCAAAAGAAAGATCTATACCCAAGCAGTGGGAACGATAATGATAAATGCTAAACAAATTAATGTATTAAATTGTGAGAGTCCCGTCAAAATAGGTTAAGCTGTTTAAGAGATTAGCCGGAACAAACAGACAGACAGAAAAACAAAAAAAAATATAAAAAATGTTATTTTGGTATATGGACCGTGTACACATTTAGTAAAAAGCTGTTATTTTAATATTAAGAACAGAGACCCCAATTTTATTTATTTGTATAGATTATAAAGTTTATCACTTTCTTCGTTTTGTAGGGGGTAATCTTAGAAAATAGTCTTTTACCTGATTCTTCCAGTTGCACGATACGCGGGTGGCATAGGCTATAATTAACGCAGGTGAAGTCGCGGGAAAACGGCTAGTCTAAGATAAGAGGATAGAGCTAGATTTACTAACCGCAATGTGCCCGTTAACAGGGTGCACTTTTAGCAGCGGGCGCTTCGGCCGCTAGCGTAGCATCGGACATCGCAGGCTCCATACGTGTGCCCGCCGCCTTCTGCGGGGTCTTCGGCCATAAACCCACACCCGGTAACTAACATAACATTATAGACACTCTACACTATTGCCCATGATAGGAGATCATGGAGTGCCACTAATATTGTAACCATCATCACGCCGCTGTACACGCGATCGTCCATCCCACATTTGTTAATTGCTATCTGAACGATATGGACGTCGAAACAAGAATCCAAATTGTCCTTGTGGAGCGTCCTTATAATCGTAATATTTTTCGAGCAAATAATTTAAAACTGCCGTTCGCCATTCTCTGCATCTTTAGCTTAACAAGTAGTTCCCAAAGTAATCAAAGTTCCGGTTGTGACAGTTCCAAACTATCAAAAGGGTAAGTAAATATACTTGAACTATTTATTAATGGTATATCGTATTTAGGGTAAAAATATACAACATAAAAAATATTAGAAAAGTCAAAACCTTATACATTACTCGGATTCCAAGTTCCAAGATAAGCACTCGTATTATAGAATATTTGAAACGACAAAGGTACCACAGCCCCCAAACCCGAGAAAATCGGGTGTGGAAAAGATGGTGATACCTTGAAACCAACATGCTAGCCATTCCGCTACGGATGTCGTTTACAAAGATAGGATAATTTGATAATAAAATAAAGACAACTGATCGGTATAGTACCCATCGTTTGATTGATTGGTAGGTATAATACCCATTGAGGGCCACATCCCAACGTTGGGCGACCCGCAGTTCCCTCGGTTCCTGACAGTGGGTCCGATGACGCGGCATGTTGAAGATTTACCTCTACTGATGTCTATAATGGCCGGTGAAAACAGTAGCAAGCTTAGACTTGATACGCCAGTCGACTTCACACAACTTAAGGTTAGTAACTTGATTTGAAATAGTTTATATATCTCCAATATAGGCAGGAACTGCAAAAATAAAGTAAAAAAAATTGGTCAAATTCTGTCTATTGCCTATCTATATAAAAACGCAAAATAATCACGTTAGATCTATGAGAGCCCCCTCCCCCTTTAATATTTATTTTATTCTTTTTAAGTAGGTATTTGTTATTATAGCGGTAGCAGAAATATCTTATCTGTAAAAATGTCATCTGCTTCATGAGATTACAGCCTGGGGACAAACGGTAGCAGAGTCTTAGTACCGTTTTTACCCTTTGAGTACGGAACCGTAAATATGAATACCTATTGAAATCAATTTTTACTTATTGTACATTTTTTGAGAGAAGCTCGATGACGCAGTGGTTAGCGTGCTCGGCCTGCGATACGGTTGTTAAGCCAATTTCGCAATGACCGGTCATAGGATTGGTAACCAAAACTTTATTGTGTTGATCTCCTCCGTGCTTCGAAAGGAACGTGAAGCCATTGATCCCTCCCTCCATCTGCAATCGTTAATAACCCCCAATCTGCCCTGTACCCGCGTGGTGGGTCATAGCCCATTCTCCCCATACGAATTGCTTTTTATGTAACGATTTTTATGTTACTATCTCATAGGTTTACTACATGACCGAGGCGGCGATGTCACCAGCCCTACTAGACGTGGACAGTGCGATTAAAGAAAAAATACGAATCGCTGCTAAATATCTCGAAACGGAGTGTGGAGCTACAATATGCGAGGTATATTATATAGTTTATAAGAATGACAATACTAAAATCATCGAACGCGTATCGAATTTTCTCTTAAATATTTTTTGGTATCGAGAGTTTGATTGGATTCTATTTATACTCCGTGATTTTTTGCTGTGCTGTCGTTGAATAATGGACTGTAATGCTTTTGTTGTAAAATAACTGTTAATATGTTTTATAGTTTATAGTTGGCTACTTGACTGTTTTTGGAAAAGTATTTTAAAACTTTCATATGATCATATCAAACCACGATCAGATTTTATATCTCCAAAAAGTATTATTAAATATAGGAAAAGATATTCATTTTCGTTAATTTATGTAGACCCTCGAAAACAATCAGGTACGTTACATTTCGAGTTCGGTGGAACAGAACGACCGACACTCCCGAGGTTCCTAGAGAGTACTATTTGTCTTTAATATGATGTAAAAAAAATTATAAGTCTAGGTCAAATAGTTTCGGAGATATTAAAATACAAAGTTTTTGAAAAAAAATGAGTGTTTTCAACCCTGAGTCAGCTGTTTTTGGGACGTACTAAGGAAAAGTTTTTAATCGGTCATTGACTTCTTCATTTCTAAAAACGAAATAAACTAGTTTGTGATTTATAAGACTGCTTTCATGCAAATTCTACCAGACAATCAATAAACAAGGCAGTCAAAATGCTTAAATCGATTTACAGACTAACAGCCGGTTTCTGATTTGAAAGTAGAAAATTTCTACTGCTTATTCTCAATAACCTAAGTTTTTTTTTAATTTCACAAGTCAAATAGTCCTAGTTTTATCAAACTGCTATCAACTGATCATCAAAAAACTAAAATCGGAAACGAAAACTAAGTGATGTTAGTTTGAGACGTTTAACTTTAAATTCTCAATTAAGAAACCGAGTGTAAAATTTCCTAAATTATTGTAGAGAGATCAGTCTAACATTAACCTACGTTATTTTAAAAGAGCAGTTCTCCAAAAAAAATTGTTTGAATGGGGTAATACTCCTTTAACAACGGGATCGTTAATTAAACTCGATAAACTCACAAATCTTCCAGCGATTCATCATTAACACAAATGAACTTTGTTTTAAAAACATTGAGGAATTTGTTATTAAAATAGCATTTAAAAAGAACATTAAAAATGCGTGATATCAAAAGACGAATAAAAAAAATTGAACGAGTTCGTCCCTCGATATCAAAGCCCCACCCACCACCCAGCCGCCAGGCGGCTTCATTATTCTGTCGGTATTTTCTGGCCGCTCAGTCGCCGCCGACCTTTTGCGCTGGAGTGTTGTTGCGCATCGCCGCCGACGCACCGCTGCGAGCTCTTTTTTGTCGATTTTGTTTTGTTCTAGTGCATTTTTAATTGAATTTTTGTTAATAAGATACTAGAGTGTTCGTCTTGAGTGTTAAGTTTAGTTTAGTGAAGATTGTGTTTAGTTTTGTGTGAAATGTGATGTGTTTTGCGCGTGCATACACTGACATGCAAAAGAGCGTGCTTAGCTGTCTTCAGAGAAGAATTGAACATTTTCATTGCATCTTGTGGCGGTTAAGCCAATTAAATAGACTATATCAGATATGATAACTTATTTAATTACGTACAAGAGGGTAGGTCCCCAAAATAGTTTTATAAAAATTAAATTTAAAGAAATATTGAAAATTTAGGGTGTGGGTCCGTGACATTAAGCAACCGTCTCGTAGCAGATTCTTGGTCACCACTGTCCTGGCAATCCAGATAATATCGCACGTTGCAGATCTCCGGTCACTGGTCCCAGTAATACAGACACGACTGGTGCAGAAGTAAAGGTTTCCCGAATAACGTGTGTAGCACAATCCAGACCTTTCTTTACCCTGCCAGAGGATAGGTCCCTGTAATAGTGCAAAACCAGACATTTCAACACTATTCAGTTTTATAGTCTGACTGCAACATCATGATACTGCAAGCGGTGTGAGATGGAGTTTTTCAGTGCAGATGAAATGACTAGCATAAATAGATATCAATGATGAGGCAGACAAACAATACAAGTTTAGCAATAAAATTACTTTACTTATGAATAAAACCATAAGTAGGTAGTTAACTATAAAAAAATATTATTTCGTGAGATCCATTTATTTGCAATACGTTTATAATCAACGTCTATAATGATGTAGATGAGATCTCACGAAATACTATTACGAACCTATTGCTAATTACTACACTTTAAAGTTTAAAGCAAAAGGCATAATTACAAGGTTGACGATGAAGGTCGCTCAATTATAAGAAAACATATTAAGCACTAACAACTAATTAAATACGTATACAATTCAACAATAAAGCGAATCACACACAATCTATAGTGATTATTTAAATGAATTAATGGTAATAATAACTTTCCAAATTGGTGAAGGTAACCTTTAATGACAATGCATTTCCAATATGTACCAAAACTACAGCAAAAGTGAATATAAGTCTTTCAACACTTACCCAATATGGGGAATAAACACATAAACTATATTTGTAGATGACTAAATCAAAAATTCACAATCAAGGAGACAGTAATTAGTGAGAGATAATGTAAGTGACGACAATATGTCCTGTCGCTGCGGTCGTATCTCAATTGTGCCACCCGCATTTTGTTGGAGAACCGGTTTCCCGCTTCGGTCGGCAATGCGCAAGCGCATGAACAATAGACTTACTGAGTATACAACAGTTTTGCCCAGACTGTGCCTATTGAATTTATTATTTTTCTTTATAATATTTTGCTTGTTTTAATTTTAGTTTTAAGTTGTAATTATGTTATTGTATGCAAATTCAATTAAGTTATATATTTTTATATTTTGATTATTTTTAAATTGTTTTACAATATTATTCTTTTTTTTAATTCTTGGATTAAGATAGACAGATAGTAAAATCGGTTCGTCGGGATCGTCGTATTCCACGACGCGTATGACGTCACCCACATCGAATGACAACTCGTCCGAGTCCTCGCGCGTGTAGCGGTACGTGGCGCGCACGCGGTACAACGTCCCCGCCGGCAATCCCGCTAGCGTTGCTCCTGCGCAATAACGCAGCACATCATAGCAATACAGGCGTACACAAAAATATGGGCGTACACAATAAACGAAAATAAATACATATCGTACGTTGAGAACGATAGTGACACAATGCAAAAATTGCGATTTTGAGTAATGGGCGTTTAAAGTTCAAGAAATTGTAGTCAGCCCCTCTAAACAACGTATTGTCATTATACCACCTAGCAGTTTCTATGCAAGCTACGTTCACTGGGGTCTTTGCATTTTAAAGCTTATACTTTAACAAAGAAAAATGTTGTTAAAAGTAAAAAATACGTCGTTTTTGGTTAGTGACATTGTCATTCTCAACGTGCGAATTATTTTATTTTCTGGTAGTATTTTTATTTTCAAGTAACGTCTCCTTTACTTATATCAGATCTAAGAGAATTCGACTTTATGCATACATAAAACGATTTTAGTTTCAGAGGGCCGCGACGTCATAGCGACGCCATGACATAATATATAAAAAAATATATATTTTAAGTATAATTTTTTTTTTTAGATATATTTCATGTATATCTATAAAATAAAAATATTTTAAAAAGTTGTCTACACACTTATTACAAACGACAAATATTGAACAATAATTCAACAGAAGAAAGAAAAAAAAAATTCTATTTATTCCGTCAGTTAGATATATAGAAAAATATCAGACACTAGTTTTCAGCCAGCGGCTTCGCCCACGTGGTCTCTGGGGAGCTATTTATTTGGATATCGATTCATATGACACGAATATAATTAAAATGACAAATAGAATAGTAAGCAATGGTTACTATGGCAACGTTTTATTTCCCCATACAAACTTCCACTCCCATTTTCATCCTTTTATTTGCTGTTTTACGGGATAAAATATAACCTATATACGCCGCATATGACGTAGCTTTCTCTAGGTGAAATTTTTAAAATCGACCCAGTAGTTTCAGAGTCTATTTGTTGCAAACAATTAATCAAATCTCTCATCTTTATAACATTAGTAAAGACTTTTTTTGCTTCAATTTAACAAGAAATAACTTAGATTATAATAAAGTTGAGAGTGGGGGCTCGCTACGTCACAACTTTGTAGAAAATGTACAAAGATGTGACGTCATGCGACATTTCAACTCAATTTATCGTCGTAATTTAAAGTTCGAAGAAGTTTGTTTGTATACTACATATACTAGTGCCGCCATCTACGATTTTAAATATAAAATTTTTTAATTAAATTTCAACAAGCAATGTTAAAAGCATGTCATAACAGCGAAGCTTACACACATTAGTAGGCCACAATAATATAAAATAAACAAATACCTTCTGTAGACAAATAAAAGAATATCTAAAACCCATTATGTGGAATATATTTACAAGGATATAAATACAATAATTATATAATAATACTTACTGTTTAAGAAGCAACAGAATATAATATCCTCCACCCATATTTTGGTTTTATTAAATTCATATTTTAAAAATTTAAAGCCTATTCAAATTTACCTAAAATTCTCAATTATTAATAAAAATTAATTTTAACATAAATGTCATAAATACTTCAAATATGTATTTTACATAGTTTAACCGAGCGTAAAAAATGACAATTTGAAAAGGCTTCAAAAGAATCCTAAACTTACCGACAGGAATGTCGTACACTTCATCTGTCTTGCTTTGATTTGACTCGTTTGGTTTGTTGTCTGTCTCTGTCTGTTTCTTTTCTACATCTACTTGCTTTTCTTCGGAGTTATTATTCAACTTCTCCGCAGTGACCGGGGACCCTGAGAGAATGTGCGTTTTGTCTGACATAACCTGGCCTGTGTTTCGACGTCGTGAGTATTCGATATTGGCAATGAAACTATTGGGTTCTGCTATATTTTTCAGACTTTTATATTATTTCTACATTATGCAGACTTTTATAAAAACAAATAATATCTACGGATACGTTATGAAAACTTCATGCTTCTAACTACTCGCATCAATCAATATTATATATTAGCTAGCGTGTTTGCTTACATTAACAAGATGTTAAATCTACATTCATTCAATAGATAACATTTTTGTTAAATAATTATATTGTGTGTATTTTAACATTCCTTTCTAAAATGGAATGTGACTGTATTTTCTTCAAAAGTGAATTTACACTGTTTTTATACTTAATAAAACAGTGCTATATTTTAAGAACGAGTGTCACGTTCACTTATTTATTTGCTAGTAAAGTGAAGAATAGAACGAATGAGCAGAATGAACCGTCAAATCCATCAACATCCAGATTTGATTATCCCATACAAAACGTAATTCGACCGCCACCGGAGTATCAGGAGCGCATACTCACCAACTGATATAATCTTAAACAGTGTATTTACACTATTTTTCTACTGACTAAAACAGTGCTATCTTTTAAAAACGAGTGTCAAGTTCACTTATTTAATTGCTAGTAAAGTGAAGAATAGAACGATTGAAGCGTCAAATCCATCAACTTCCAGACTCGATTATCTCGTACAAAATGTAATTCATCCCCACCGGAGTACCAGGAGCGCATACTCACCAACTGGTACATCGTACAAATCCTCCTTGCTGTTATCGAGCGTCTTCTCCTGTTCGCGACGCGCGGGCGGCGGGGGAGCTGTACCGTTGGGCACCGGTGAAGGGGGCGAGTGGGTCTCAGGCAAGGGCGAGGGGGCTTGCGGCGGGGTCATGTGGGCCTGTGGCGGGGTCGAGTGGGCCTGTGGCGGGGTCGAGTGGGCCTTCGGTGATGGCGAGTCGTCCGATGTCGGAGTACCCGGGGGCGCCCAGCCGGGGGAGGGCGGCGCCGCTCGCTCCGAAGGCGGCGCTGGTAATACATGCACACGCTATACATGCTTGCGACTCATCGCTGGGTTAAACTTATGTTATAGAAAACTTAAAAAAAAAACAACTTTAAAGTAATTTTAAATGTCAATAAATCAGTCACATTCATCTTTTTTTTTTATGTAATCATAAATAATTAAAGTCCCTATCCAAAAAGACTTCTCTGTAATAAAACAGGGAGTAAACTATCCCTTGCTGATTTTCTTGCCGGTTCTTCTCAGAACGAGGTCCATGGTTTGCGAACAAGACTGAATAAATGTTACCGAATTTAAAGAGTGTTTAACGTTCTTATTTATGTTTTAATACAGAAAATTTATATTTGTAAAAATACAATTAATTTTTAACCTTAACTTTATGAGTTTGTTTCTTTATCCAAATTTTGATACTATATAACTTGCTTAGTTTGATTGAATTGGAATTATAAGTAACTATAGTTTTAATAGTAATTGATGTTTTTGAAAAACAGATTTAAAGAAATATTGAATATCTTAAATAAAGTTTTATAGTAAGGTGATGGTTTTAGCCCAGCGATCAGTCCTATTACACACACACAACAAGTTAAAAACCACAAATACGCATTTGGTAAAATTCACACAAGATTCACTTGAAAACACAAATAGATTTGAGACAGATTCCATTATTGTTTTGTCTTTATTTACTTTCCAAGCCGTAATAAAGGCAAAGGCAATGAGCGTTCCGCCTGCACCAAGATTATGCACTCTGTTTGTTGGAACTCAAAATTCCGAGTAATGTAATTTGTTAAAAATATTATATAATTTTTTGATAATCCATGTCTTTGTAAAAAGAACAATGCAGTGTCAAAAGTGTATATAATACAACTTATAATACGAAATATTCAATGGTAGTAAAAGGAAAACCAGATATAGGTGAATGCTTTATTTATTTGGTATAAAATATAAAAAGTATTCTCTATAAATTAACACTAAGCTAAATTTGTAAAAGACAACTAAGGAATCGAGTTATTTAATAAATCTTAACCTTAATATTATGACACATTAATATATTAACTTTGCTTTAATAGATTATGATGTTAAACTTACTGGTTTAGAGTTATTAAGTTATTAATTATATTTTTAGATTAATTGCGAGTAATTTAGACCGAAAATGCTATCCACAAAAAAAAAGATTATTTTAACGCTTTGTAATCGTTGATAAACTTCAAAATGATAGCAACTAACAGTTTTGTTTTTTTTTAAAGGATTATCTGTTTATTTTCCTTGTACTACATTTCATTTTACAATTTAATTATAATGGAAACATCGATGTTAAAAGAAAATATTAAACGTAAGCGCAAAAAAACACAAACAACAAATTGTTGAGTTAGTTACCTATTTGTATTGATAAAAAGTGTATTTTATGTAGAATATTATATAAATGTGATAAATTGATATATGTATTTGTAGTGCCATCTATTTTTATTAAAACTCAGTTCATAATGTTATGGTATATTATAAAATTAAGAACATCAGGTTGCAGGTGAGAGATAAATTATTTGAACTGAATACCAATTTTTTAATTTGAGGGTACTAACTAACCTGTCTGTAGTTGATTATTAGAGAGGGCACGCATGTCGTAATGTCGAAGAATCCCCTGTCGTGTTGTTCCACCAGTGGGCATTGGCCCTAACATTTACCAAATCATTTGTAATGTATATGTGTAATAAAAATTATATAAAGTAGTGTAAATAAGAAGCATGTGTTGCAGAAGAATAGGGATGATGACTAATTTTTGTTTGTTTGTCTGTCAGGTAGTGTTAAAAAATATCAAACACGTATTTTTTTATTTTTTTCATAATCATAAAATTACGGCGTTACATTGAGTTGAAATTTCGCATGACGTCACGTTAGAGTACGTCTCAACTGTGACGTAGCGAGCCCCCACTCCTCAACTTTAATGCCTGTTGTCTAAGCTATTTCTTATTAAATTGAAGTAAAAAAAAAATACGTATCTAATATTTTTCTATTATCTGACTGACGGACTAAATAGAATTGCATTTTTTTACCCAGTCATCATCCCTATTGTTTCTATCAATCTGTTTAAAAATCGTATTTATTAAGGAAGTGTCGGTACCGGTAACTATATCGCGGTTGAAGTGATTATGAAACTAAAAACTAACTGTTTAATGCGGCGTAGCAGCATGGCGAAGTGAATGTAATGTCCTAGTGTAATATATGTATATATGTGTAATATATTAATTTCAAAAGTATTCGGTGAATATGAATAAACACAGATTTTATCCAAGATATTCAAACAGTAAATGGCCAATGCTAAGAATCTTGATCGTTTGTAGGTATTGTTAAAAACACAACTTTATCTGGCTTTATTTGGTATTTTAACTGATATTGGCGCGAATGTCCTCTTATGACAATGTCAAATTCACAGTGAAAACTCTCTGACAAATAGTGATTCCCGTAATATGGACGATAAATCGTGATGTCCATTGTGGTATGCGATATTTCTTTAATCTAACAGTATAAATGTATTCTCAATTGTACATCTACAAATATTAGACTCCGCGCAGGACTGAAGATAGTTTTATTTTGAATATAGTTTAAATATGACTTAAAAATGTAATGACTCGACAGTCAACATCCAAGTTGACTAGACAATGTTGCCAGGATCGAGATTATTCATTGTCATATACGAAATACTCAGAACTAATAGTTACTTGGCTTATGTTCAGTTTTATGTTAAAATAATTTTTGAATATACGCATTTGTATATTGGTATTCGTTGCATAACTAGTATAATAGTGCCACGTGGTGGACTATATTTTTATAGTAACGTGTACTAACGTCATGTATTGTACGAGAGTAGTGATTTATATTAGTGTAGTGTGTATTAACGCAGTGTGGTATATTAGTATAGTGTCGTGTATAGTCTCTTTTAAATAACATGGCTACGGTAACATTTGAATATTAATTCATCGACAAGGCGAAACCGAGTAAGAAAAATGTAAAAAAAATATTATAGTATATAATACACTATATATAAACGATTGCCGAATACAGATTTAGTTTAAATAGAATTTACTGATGCAATCTCTCTTAAATAAAACATTCCAATTTCGTTACAAATATTGATGTTTGAAACTTTAGAGGGATTGATTTCAGTAATTATGACTATTAAAATTTCATTTGTGTTTTATTATGTAAATTTTAACAAATATCTAATATATATATATATATATATAGTCAAACAATTTTTTTTATAGCAATGGTTTTTAATTATTTGGAAATACAAATTTCGTGAAGTGGATTTGTTAACAAACGTCACCGTACGCATGCTATGTGAAACGGACTGAATGTAGTGTGGTGTACTAACGTTATGTGATGTACTAGTATAATGTAGCGTATAGTATAGTGTAGTGTATAAAATACTCACTCTGCACGGTATCGGTGGGCGCAGGCGGATTTCCGTTTTGTGCGGGCAGGGCATGATTATTAGCACGTTTGGTGTAAGAACCGCGCTGACATTCCGTTGCCAACTTGTCAGTTATAGCTTCCAGTTCAGCGAATACCTGTATTATATAAATTTTTGATATACATCTAGAATGTTAGTCTTTATGTGTTTATAAGAAGTTTTATATAGCAATTATTTATGCGTGTTCGAGTGGTACAATTTCGGTTTATGTGTCTTAGCGAATTGCAACATGAAGATTAAGAAATAGACAATTAAAGAACGACTATGTGTTATTTATATAATATATAAATCATTTAATATATAATTCATTGATCAAGAAAATAGTTCTTAACGAAGATACAGATATTCCCTTTTTACAGATACTTATGAGGGTGGTAGCTCTATGGGAGGTTCGTTGTGTAAGAAAATTTTGTAGTTTAAATCGATCTTAGCATTCACAACGAAAAATAGTGGCGTGTAAAGCAGTAGAGTGCCAAGTTTATCGATAGTAGAAGTCATACAAAATTGAAGTAAATATTATTTTCGTACATACCTTAGAGCTTTCCGAATGGAACAGTTGTTCAGCTGAGAAGAGTGTTTGCAAATTGTGTACGTAGAATAGTACACGCGAATCGTAGAGCGCAGGCAATTCGTCGTGTAATTCAGAATTCAACACCTCGTAAGTGCGTTTCGCTTCCTCCAACTGCTCACGTCCTTTTGTCACCTACAACAGAAATACAATAATAACTAAACCTGAACTAAAATACTAAATTAAAAAAATATATGAACAATATAATGTATAATGCTAAGAGATTAAACTTTTTTATGCATAAATATGATAATATCCCTATATTCTGGGAATCGCAGCAAGGATGCGCTTACATTGTGAAATCCCTTCCACAATAAAAACGTCAACAAGAGTGACTAATATCGATATAATACTCAAATTGGCAATGCCGCGTGCTAGTTCGCAGATTTTCATGATGCGACGTCGCATCGCATTTTTGTGTATTCTTAATCGAATGGAAAAATCTTTAGAACAATCAAATCGTCAGATGAGCATCATAAGGTTTATATTGAAATGTCTCGTATAGCAGTATCTGAGAGGTTATACCATGTTATACAAAAAAATAACTATTCAATTACCTTAACATCGTCCCGTCTCTTCGCAGCATTTGCCTGTAAATTTTGAAAGCTATGCCTCTGGCTATCATAGTCGACTAGTTTACGCCCTCTTTTCTCCACTTTTTTCTGCAAAAAAATATTATTTATTAGTGTATTGATCACCTTATAGTATTGTTAATAGGATATTTTATCATAAGATGAATTAATTGCAAGGTAACTGAAATAAGTTATTTTAATAAGTTAAACTTATAAAGTATGTAAATTTAATAAGTAAATGACCGAACTCATCCATTACATTCGCTTGTGCTTTTCCTAATTATCAACCGTCATCTCAACATTTTCCTTTCTTACACATATCATGTTTCACATAGTCTAACTCTAAACATCTTTTATTCGTTCTTTCTATCCTTACATTTCATTCTACACAAACAGACACTGAATTATGTAGTCTGTGGTTACAATGGAACATTTATTTTGAAGATATTTATTTTTAAATGTTTGAATAAAAATGTAGAAAAGTGTCACATGGTATTTCTTTAGTTCATTGCATAATAAGAGTAATGCAAGATCCGATAAAGCAGTCAGCTTCGACTTATTTACTGAACACCGTTATTTTCGTTGTTTATTGGCATTAACTACGTAATTTTATGCAGTTCACGTACTCAATCTGGACGTGCATTATGGCTCCTTTACATTTGTCGACGGGCCCACATGAGGAGTGCGAGACACTTCGGTTCATCACGATCATCACCATTCTATTAATGTCCCGACCCCGCTACTGGGGCACAGACCTTCGATCTTTCGGGCCCAATTGCGACTGGTAGGTGTTAATGACTGGAGATGCAGTACCTGAGACCTGATTGATGAGCCAGAATGAAGCCCTGAATGATCTTTCAGGCTGGCAGATCATCTATCACAGACGAATCAGATATAAATTCAGATTAGCAAATCCATCCTGATCGGTCTGCTGATAGTTGATCTGTCAGCCAGAGATATCATTCAGGGTTACATATTGACACATCAATATGGAATTTAATTACGTAATTGATCTGCTGAGATGTAAAACCACTAAGCCTAAGATCTTGAACAAATGCAGAAAGTAGTTCTTTAACTATGAACTACAGAAAAACGTCTGTTGTTTCAAAATTTCATCATTGTACGGAACACTGCGCGACTCTGAGTCGCTTCTGGCCGGTTTTGTATTTTTTTTTAGATTTTCGCTTTCCTTTCGTATTCAATTTGTTGTGCATGTACTATGCCAATATCCACTTTTTCACACAATTCAGTACAAGGTCGCAGACTCCAAGAAATGGTAAATCACAATAAGTTGCAATAAAACTTACCCTGACTTCAGGGAACTGGTTGGTATAGGTGTTGAGCGGTATGAGCACCTGGTCGCCAAGTTTGTGCGAGAAGTCCTGCCATAGCATCTCCATGTTCTGGGCCTGCACGTATAGCAAGTCGTGGCCTGACCATCCACTCTCGTATACCTCCGTGATCGCTTCCATTAGCGATTTGGACGCCGTTTGCACCGCTGTCGAAGCAGAAAGTTTTCTTGATAATTTTTATTACATTTAAAAATAATATTAGATACACACAAATACATTGCTTGACCTCAAGAAGCTAGATATCTCGTTAGGCATTATGGAATTTGAAACCACCAATGTAACAAATATAACCTCGTCCAAACTCAGTCGGATTGAATGTTCATGCCGATGCTCATGGTGTTCCATGAAGGTCGTACATATATTATTTCTTACATTCATACATCACGCTTTTATTTCTGACTATTTATATATGTTTATGTATAGGGTAAGAGTTGTCCGTTGATTTTGATACAGATGACTTATCTAATGTTTAGTTTTTCACACTTTTCACATTGTGCAGGCTAACAACCCGTCATTTTTCTCCTTGCTGGATCGGTATGTTATAGAGTTTAATCCAAAAAACCAAACGAGTGTTTTGAAGTTCTTAGTGACCCACGATAGAAACGTGATTATTTTCTAATATAAGCATGATTACTATAGGTAATATATTATTACACGTAATATGAATACGATTGTCAACTAACATGTTGACAAATTCTCTTATATGCTATTATAATAAGAGGAAAGATTTAATTGATTACATTGAATAAGTTGCGAAACTATTGGAACGATTTAAAAAAAAAATCACCTCCATCATACGGGGTTGACATAGGCTATAATTTACGCGTGTGGAAGTCGCGGAAAAACAGTATCTTATAAATTAATAAAATCTCAATGACCATAATAAATATAATCAAACTTTCTATTTCACACTCACCTCTTATGCATCTTATGTAATTATTGAACTCTTTTTGTAACCGTGTAGCTTGCTGGTGCTGCCTGTTGAAATTCTGAAGGTGTTCCTCGAAGATATCGTCCAACGTCCGATCCACCTTCCCAAGGTTTTGTAGTAGCTGGAAATAAAAAGAATAAAAATGTTAGTCCAACAATATTGTGACCTCGCGACCTCTTCCTTGAGACCAAATGTATTTTAGGTGAAGTAAGATTATTTTTTTAAGATATCTCATCTTTAAAAAAAAATTGCACACTATAAAGACACCCAATGAGAATAATAGCAATACAATTTACAGTAAAAAGAAGCTTAACTCAAAGGTAGAAAATTATAACATTTTGAGCGTGGCTCCGTACAAAAACAATGACCCTTCGTCCAACACATGCTTAAAAACGCAAGTTGCAATATTTCAACTCGTTTTTTATTTGATACGAATCATAAATGTGCAATGTACTATCAGCTGTGCCCATTTTCTGAACCTGATCGCGCACGTTGCATCCTTGCAGTTGATAATTTTAAACCATCAACTTTTATTGCTATTATCCGGAATGTAACTACGTTTAATAGTGTACTGTCGACATATACTGTCGTAGGCCAATCGTTGATTTGGGCTGATCGAGATTTGCCCAGGCATATCACGATATGCCGCCATTTCATGATTTGGCCATCTATCACATCGATGGAGTATGCTGACCAAAGTTCTATGTAAGCAGAGATGAGCAACGACCTTCTAACGGCTTTTCCGGCCAACAGTTTTCTTGTACCGCTCATCTCTGTATGTAAGCAAATTACATGAATTTTAAATAATTATTATTTGACTGGTATTTACTAAATAAGTATTCAGCTTTTCAAAATGATTTGAAATTTGAATACAATCAAAGTTTTTGACAGCAGGTAACTCACTGTCATTATTTTTAATATCACAGTTTTCGGCAAATGGCGGCATATCGTGATATTCTCAGGCAGATCTCGATAGGCACAATTCAACGATTGGCCCACGACATAACCGTGATGCTTTGCCACCATTCGAAAAATTACTGAATTTTATTTCATTTATCTATTCATCGTTTTTCAACTATGAAATGCCTAAGTTCTAAAGTAAAGAAGTACTTAGCATAGATATTATAAAACTAAACTTGGAATTTGAATTATTATTATTTAAAACTATAACAATTTTAATAAAAAATAAGAGGCGAAATTTGCAACGTCCATAAAGTATGCATACTCGTATCCTACCTATACGAGTATGAATACTTTATATTGCACATATAAAGTATTCATTCTCGTTCATTTGCGCAACAAAAAATAAATAAGACATATGATAGTTTAATTTACATACTTAGAACTAACACATTCTATAAATTTGAAATTTTGTTTTAATTCTCCTGTAAAAAACGCATTTACAATTATAAACATGTTTTTGATTAAATATTTAGAATATGGTCAACACAAGTACATAATAATCAAAGGTCAACATGGGAGAATTGTGGCTTATTTATGATAGAGTTCGTACTTGGAGTACGGGCGATTTGAGTGATTCATTTTCAATTATCGATCATTTTTTGATCAACATAAATGAACCATCAACGCCCCTACACCTAATGTCTGCTCTACGTGTATGCTATAAACTATCCAAGAATTGAAATGTATTCACATATTAATTCTGTAAATTGCATAATGAGCATACATCACAAGTGAAGTAAGACCAAGGTCGCAATCATACTGTCACTTGATACGCTAATTAGTGCCTCATTAACTACCGTTTGAAGAATATAATAAATAACAATAAATACAATGCAGTCACTAAATAAAACGAGCTACCAGCTACTTGTTCTTTAGCGTCTAGATTTATTAAACCAGAATAACTGCACACGATTTTTATTAAATAATAAAAACTATTATAAAAATTGTCCAGATCCCAAGTGAATTAGCTTATTTTTTAAATTACGGAGATCTGAAACAATGAAGGTATCTACAACACCCAGACCCAGACCCGAGTCAATAGAAAAGTTCAATTTTAACTTAATTTTCAAAAGTAACACTTTAAAACTGGCAACCGAGCCTTAATTTATATACTTACTTATCCTCCATACAAATACTATTTAAGAGATAAGATGCGTCATATTTATTCATGCGTTAGTATGCCAAAAGATAGGTCATTATATTTTCAGAAAAACGATGTAAATAGAAAATAAATGTAGGATGACAAATCAGTTCTTGTTATCGTTGACTATATCGTCTAGATCTGTTAGATACCTTAGGCCTTAGTTTTCCAAGGAGTTTTATTGATTTTTCCTTCTTTCAATAATTGATCATAATTATACACTGACTAATATTGCCCAAGAAATATATATTTATACAAAAAAAATAAGGCAATTCGTGCAAAAAGGATCAAAATCCATTAATTTGTGTCAAAATTTTCTCTCATACATATCCCGTTTTTGTTTCTTTTCTATTGATAATAGTTAATAGTCTAGCTTCGCGGCCTATACAGTAAAGCTTGCTCTAAGACATTAGCATGATCATTTTTAATTAGGTAACATGTGGGAAGTAGCGAAAGTCAAACAGTCGACTGAAACTGTCCCACCTACATGTTAACATTGGTAATATGTGAACAAGAATAATCATTTTAAACTAGCTCACAACATTAGCACTAGCGCATTAATAAATATGCGAAAGTAATGTTTGTTTGGCCAATACTAATACCGAACTGAATGATTTATAATTTTAAAGTCATGCCATAATTTAAAAACTATTTTCTGATATCTTATTCATTAATGTACTGGTCAATTGCCGATTTTACGGGTATCCCGATCTTCTTTTATTGTTATTAAAACACATCGGATGTTTTTAATCTAATATCTGGATTAATCAATCTATATATTTTTTTTATATAATCTCATGTAACGACGTCAAAACATAATAAACTTTTGCGTTAGGGAAAACTCAAGAAAACAGTCAGAGTTGGAATTAATTTCGCAATGTTATATAAATGAAAGATCTAATCTTGGTTAACAGTTGCGTACTCCGTCATATGCAGGTGCAATATTATAAGCAAATCTAGTTTGCAAACAATGGGTACGCTGCGATTGTCTCTCACAAGGTTACCGATGACAGATCATCAAAATATTAGTATCGCATTATATGAAATAGTCTGGGGTGTAGATACTTGCATATAGTGAAAAAAGGTATAACAGTAAAGAGTCTGGATATGTAGAAGTATAGCAAGTCGATATAAAATATATAAACAAACAAAAGGAGGGTGGAAATAAAAGCAGATCACGAAAATTAGACAGCTCTAAAACTTTAAACATGGGTAAATAAAGAAGAAATATTAATAAATGTAATAAGAAATACATGAAGTAACAAATTACTTCTTGATATATAAGTCGTATTAGCAAGGATTTATTTAAGTAACGTAATCGTATACCAAATGCCCACATTATTACTTCATGTTACTTAAACGGCATTTTATTTCAATCTTATTAATGCATATAAATTTTCCAGTTATGATTTAGTTGTATTCAAGAATGTATTTAATACAACTTGTAATAATCTATGTTTTGAATTAAATTCAATGAATGGAGAACATACAATAATATCAATTTGAAAACCTGAATCTTTCCATAATCAGAGATGCATGGATAAAAGTGAATGATCAAATCGCTAATCAACCTGATGAAGTCAACCATAGGGCTGTACGGCTTTGTGTCATCGTCCGGTAGTCCATTGTTCAGCGCAAACGCATGCATGAATAACAATAGATACCATGAAACGGAAGAACTGCCATCAGGTACTTACTGAGAACCCAAGTTTTACATAATGATGAATGGATTGTATACAAAAAGTAAGGACTCAATAAAGGCAATGCTTTTGTAAACAATACAGTTAAGACGGATACAAATATTGTGATTATTTATATTTGTTACGGATTTAATGTATACCATAAAATTAAAACTAGTTACGCTCATTTAAAGCAGAGAGAACGATTTGAAGTGCTTCTTATTTAAGTTGTATTCGGAAGTGTTGATGGCTTGTTACTATCATTACGTCTTATGACGTCATGTCCGCCGTTGCAGCTTTTCGATTTCGATTGTCTTTGACCCAGGCCTTTAATTGATTCCATTGTTTTTGCTTACTCATCGAACACTTCGAATTCCCGACCGATTACCTTTTTGACGTACAACAATTTGATTATGTTAAAAATTACTAAAGTATTGCCGTATCAAAGTCCAATCGTATTTTTATATTAGTACCTACTACATGAATTAGTGTACTACGTATGACATCTCACCATTTAAACCTTCCCTGAACAAATAATTCGAAACTAAAATCAGCTAAATCAGCCAAGCCATACTCGAGACAAACGAACAACAATTTTTTTTTTAATATAGATATGTAAAATTTGTACATACTCTATCATAATAATAAATAAGCCGGATATCGTCATTAGAAAAGCAACATTTTGACAGGGCAATATAATTAATACTTCGTAATTAATTGCTATTTCCGATAGAAAATCGTTTTAAACCTTGAATCAATTGATTAGTAACACCTAGCAAATTGAAAACACATTATAAATACCAAAAGTACTACGAAAAGGTACTAAAGACGATACGAGGATGGTGGTCGTATCGGTCAGTTTTTTTTTTTTATTAAGGTTCATAAAACTGGTTTTTGTAAAGAGGAATGATGAAGAAACAAACTTTTTCGATAACGTATGTAGCTAGCTACATGCATTCTAGTTTACGTGAGTGAAAGTTTACGTAAAATATACAAGATCTTGTTGTATACTTTAAGCTCTTTAGCATATTTAAAAAAGTTACGAATTTAAAAAGCTATTGGCATATAATAATTGTTCAAAAGACTTATATAATAATTGAAAAAAGTAAAACGACGAATCATACATATTATAAATGTCTATACATATGTCTCTATCAATAATAAATTGAAACATTTGACTGTAATAAGCAACTACGTGTATTATAAATGTGATAATAAAGAAAATAAATTTCAAAGTATCGTATATCTGTGTTCCTTGCATACAAATGTCTCATAATTGTTATAACACAACGGAATGAGACAACACGCTGTGAAATTAATATGTGAGAGATGCACTAA